TATATATCAAATTCCAAATGTAAAAACTAGTGATTCAACAATATAAATGGTTAGATTTTTTTAAATCAGCAAAATATAAACATATATATACGTATAAAATATTTTAAAAAAACCACACAAATGTCTATGATAAATGCTGAAGTGAAATCGGAAATGAAATTTCATTACTATAAGTGATAGACAATAGTGTCCTTGATTTCAAAAAACAGACACTTAATCTCTAGAGACTATAAGCTCCCCTGGATCAACTATTATTCTTCTGCAAGTCTGTATTGCACTGAACATAACAGGAACCCAATTATTTCTGAAACCTCTGAGTGTTATCAGGATCTCAGTATTAAATAAAGATATAATGGTACATAGATACAATAAATCTGTTTACTTAGCTGTTATTAAAATTTTGCTAAAAATATTCTAAACAAAAGATTCTAATAAGAGGTGTTTTAACGACTGTTCTTTCTAGAAATTGATGTGTCTCTCTTCAACCAGCTTTATCGATGATTAAATAATACTCAGCAAAACCATGTGTTTTTCTTTCAATGAATAAACTATAGCTAGGTTAGACTTTCATTAGTTTATGATATTCAAAATCCCAGTGCAATATAAAAAAGTTACAAATTTGCATGATTGTGATGGGAGGCAATCCATCAATGACATATTTCTGCTTGTCAAAATGGACAGACACTGGTTAGTTTTGGCAATGTGTACTTTTCTGGAATAACAATAAATGTATGTCACAGAGGGTCTTTGCATGTCGTGCATCTTTACAAATATTTCTCATTTTTTTCTTTTTTCTTCATATATCACAGCAATCAAGAGAAAAGGAACCAAATCAAATTCTAACCCAAAGATATTGTTTGTCCTATTCTGCTCCAAATGTAAGGTGTTAAAGTGGATAAACTGAATTCACTGTACCTTCACTTTATAAAGTTGATCAGAAAATGTCTTTTCCATTTATGAAGCATTACAAATAACGTGCAAATGTAAGTGCGCATGAAGGAAAGACAAAGAATTCATTTTTCTAAGAATGGCTACAGAGGCCTGTGTGTGTGTGTGTGGTGCCCTGGATTACCCTCAAAATGTGCAGATGACCATTACCAAAGGAAGTGGAAGGAACAGCATGTTCACCAACTGCAGAGCCAGGAATAACAGAAGCCACACGTTCAACAACAGCCATATGACTACAGGCAGGCTCTGACCGGGCACTTCCCATTCAGGATTAACATAATGTTTATATAAAGCAGAAAAAACGCACCTCGCTTACCCAAAGCTACATATTTCTCTAAGAAACGCCTGCCCCTGAAATAGGAAGCAATACCTCTGGCCTCTTGACTGAACAGACGGGTGAGCCCTCAGACTAGAAGTGCTAGCTGCAGAAGCAGGATTTGAAATGGTCGGAAGTCATCATCTGTTTCCAGAAAGCATGCCTTGGGTTTGATCCCCAAGATCAGCATCCCCAGCTCTCGGGGTAAAAAAAAGACATTCTGATTGGCGCTTTGCTCCTGCGCACAATGTCGTTGCTGCCCACAGTGAAACAGAAGAGCGAATGGGCAGCAGACAGACGTGGGGCCCCATCTTTGTCTGTATTAATTATTTAAGAGTCCTCAATGTTTGCACACAGAAAAATGTTTTCAAAATGCTAATAAAAATACACCTCGCAGCTAACCAGTCTTCATGATGTCCCAAGCTAAGCATCCAAGAATGAATCCAGAGTTATTAACCACTTCTGAAGTAATCATTATAGTTCTAGATCTGCTTTTAAAATTCATATATGAAGTACATTTAATCTGTTTGCTACTACTATTATTTTGTCCCCAGGCTTCATTTGTATCCTCATGTCAGTAAGACATGTAAGATAATTATTTAAATTAATACAGCAATAGAATCCACAGTAACAAACATACTTTAAATTTTATCTTAAAAAAGCTAGTCTCTTCAGAAATCATTGTAAAGAACTAGCCTTCAGGTTACTCTGGAGAGCACACAACAGGACAGGGCAGAGGCGAGCTCAGTACGGATCGTGGCTGGGAGATGGCTGGTCCTCTGCCCCTTCATGCGGAAAGCCCTGACAGGAGAGGAGACAGACTCACTTCTGGTCACTCCTCACAGAACTCTTCAGTTACTGTATAAAATAAATTGCTAATCTAAAACGTATAAACTGCAGGTAGACAAGGGTCTGCTGCCCACCAGGAACCGTTTGCTAGCAGTCATGCTTGAACTGTTAAAAGGAGAGACCTGCATGTAGCTACCTGTCTTCCTCAGTGCTCAAGCTACTAGGCTAGTGCGTTGGAGGATGGCTCAGCGCTGCTTCTGGCCATGGTTAGAAGCCCTCTGCAGGAAAGCCTTCCCGGAGAGGACTCCAGGCCGTGCAATGCCAGGTGAGGTGCCTGCCGCCTCTGCAGCCCCTGCTGAGGTGCCCCCAGTGGGCCTTGGCCAGCCGCTGCGGTCTGCAGCCCGTCCATACGTGTGAGCGCTCTCTGCCTCCAAAAGAAGGAGGCTACGTAGTTCCCGGGCTGGAGTAACCCCTGCACTGAGCCCTGGCTGGGAGCCTGGCGGGTGATGGGGGCCGAAGGGCTGCCGAGCAGCGTTTCAACAGTGGGACAGGAGCGGTGGCAGAGCTCCAGTGCTCCAGCCTGCGCTCTGGTGCTGCTTAACACTATGTATGTGTGCATGTATGTACGTATACATAAACAAGCATTTCACCTCGCACTGTGGCGAGGCCGTAACCGTCCAGCTCAGACTATCAAAAAGTCCGGTGTTACATGGTCTTTGCTTTAGGCGCTGCTTCCACCATTCGTTTGCGTCCTTCTTCTGGCTTAAATGTTTTTATTCATTGTAGGTGTTTTTCCTAAGTGGGTATGTTTCTGTTTGATTTACTAACAAGCCAATAGTTCAGGACAAAACAAAAATGAAAGTTTCATAAAGGCTGATGGTGTGAATTAACAAATCAAGCCCAAGGGTGTCAGAAAAAGGGCTGTGCACACAGGCACTGTAATGTTTGCCATGTCCCTCCAAGGTGCCTTCAAATCGCCTGTCTCTACGAAGGCACCAAACAGCCTCGCTACAGGTGGCTGCCCAGAGCCAGGCACACACGTGTGCTCCGCCGGCCCGGCACCAGTTTGCCTGTCTCGTACTGGCATTCATGGCAACACCTTAATGACATTCCCAAGACAGCATAGTTTCAAACGGAAAAATTCAAGCACCGCTCAGTATCTCTTAAACATATAACTGAAGATGATGCGCAAAAGTCAATGCAAAACAGTTTGGAGGATGTATTAAATAGCCTTTGGGAAGAAAGTGTATAGAAAAGCATTGTAGGTCTGAAAGGAATGCAGGGGCAAGACAGAAACACAAAACCACAGAAGACCAAGGGAATCACAGAAAAGGAGGATGTCAAGAGGAGGGAAAGGAGGACTGCAGCGAGGATGGGTGAGTGTATTTTCCCAGTGAGTGAAGTGCAAGGCGCGGGGCACTCACCGAGTGGTATGTAGAGCTGAAAGTTTAACTAGTACCTTCTTCTGTGCTTTTTGATCTTTGCACAAAGCCTTTCTTCACACAAAGGACAGAGAGGTTTCTGTGGGGCTGTATGGGAAGGACAGCCGACGTCCTTCTGTTCAGGCGTTTCCCGTATTTCCCAGAATAAATGGGATGCCTCTCCCTGTTCCTCCTGCCTTTCCCTCAGCCTCCGGAGGAAGACATTCCCGAGACATTTCGCTGCGACGGAAGGCATTAACCCGCGTGAAAGCAGTTTCTCTGGCGCGGTTTGCTCTCGCCGCCAGATAAGATGCGACACAAGCCCAGGACAAGCCGACACCCGCTCGCTCCCCAGGGCTGGGCTTGAGCTCCCCTCTTCTGCCGGCCTCCTTAAGCCCGGCTGGCAGGGGAGCGGCAGGATGGCGGCAGCGGGGAGCCCTCGGCCCCTTCCCGCCCCGAGCGAGGGCATCGGGAAGGGAGCGGGGCGGTCATCGGTTTACCACCACTGATTTGAAGATAAGGGGGAAGACCGGCCGTCGGCGCTGCTAGCCGCACAGCAGGCACCTTCTCTAACGCGCCGTTTGGCTTCCCAGAATCTTTTCTTTAAAAAAAAAAAAAAACAACCCAACAACAAAAAAAAGCAAGCCCCCTTCTCTCTTAGCTGCCGCAGCTCTGAGAAAACCGTGAACCGAGGGCTGCAACAGAACGTGTGAACCGTTTCTGAAAAGTACCGAGTGCCCTCTGCATCTGCGGGGAACACCTCAGGGAGAGGCGAGCTCAGGGACAGAGGTTTTAGCGGCCATTGCCAACTCTTTAATCGATCACCGAAGGCGAAAGGTGACCGACCCCCTTGGTTGAACCCCTAGCTGAGGAGGGAGCCTGCTGGCCATCAGCAGCTCCTTGACAAGCTCTCGGGACCCGGAGAAGCGGAGAGAAACGCCAGCAGAAGCTCCTGACATCTGCACTAACTGCCTTGAATAATTTTGCATTTGAGATGCTCCCCTAGAAGAAGACCGTGTCATGAGGGAAGCATCGCCACCTTTATCCTGTGTGGGAAGCATAAAAACCTGTTTCTGGGACGATCAAAGCTGGGGGGAGAGAGGGGAATCGTGTTCTCACCGCTTCTGCGCTTTGTTTGAACCGAACTCCGAAAAACATAATTACGAATTACTTACCCGGTCCTGCTTCCTATTTCGCTATGGGCGGCATATCCCTAAACGCAGCGCAAAGTTCTCAGAGATATTTATTTTCAATTGTACGATGAGATATTTCACAATGCGCATTTTTATGCCACCAGCTGTAAAAAAAAAACAAAACCCAACCCAAAAGCCCGAAAGCGAGTTGCATCGATCAGCGGCGTCCCAAAGGACGGCTGCGGTCGCGCCCGCGCTCTCCCCAGCTGACTGCAATGCCTGCACTTAATTTTCTGCCCCGGCAAATCCGTTAACATGCTAATTCCTATGAATTCTGAGAGTTTATTTATATTCGAAAGTTTATATCTGGGAACAGCAGAAGTTAAAGAGCGGATGCCGGCAGCCAGCAAAGAACACGATTTTAAGGCATTCGTTGAAATAAACGCACTCCTGCCTCTCTTCCCACCCGTTCACAAGTAATCTGATCATTTCACACTCGTGCCAGCTAATGCTTTACGCCACATATGCATGTATGCGTTGAACTACGAAAACGAAATGGAGTTTTTTGTTTGGTTTGGTTTGCTTTTGTTTTGGTTTGGGGTTTTTTTTTGGGGGGGGGCGCGTGTCTTTAAGCAAAGTTTTTTTTCCCTGTGGTATTCACGCTAACGTTTTAGACCAAATACAAACGATACAATAATGCTGGTCGGAGTATTTCCATCTCTTCGAAAGATTACATTAGGCTTAAGCTCCCAGCGCTCTCTTTTGCAGCGCCCCGCGGGACGAGTTAACGCCGCAGCACGGCTGCGGCTTCGCCCGGCTGGCCCGGGGCGGCGGCGGG